CACATTTCTGTTAGCAATCGTATTTAAAGTTTATTTGTTGTACACGCTATTTCTTCTGAGCCAAGCATCGTGATTCCTGACAAATGGCCCTGCAAGTTGCATGTGTTGGGCATCACAGAACTCACATAGTAGCGAAAATATGGACAGTCGATCATAGTCAGAATAAGTACTTTTCCTAAGTAACTTACCATTTCGCAATGTATTTTTTTACTATATATTGACAGCCCTTAGTAACCACGCAAATTTCGCCGTGACGTAGGAAGGGGAAAAGATGCAAAGTAATACGGATACTCGCACGCAGCCATAAGCTTTTATTTAATTTGCGTGCGCGATTTATCTAATTAATAATAATGATGTAGGTTATTAAACGTCGGCAAGCAGTAAACTTCAAAAGAGTGCAACTTCTGGACGTAGTACTATTATTTTTATTCTGTGATTGTGGTAAGGACTGTTAACTAATTACTGTAATCTATGTCTTATTTCATAAGTATCTAGTATTTAAACTACTTTTTAAATTCTTGTCCAGAAGTTCCCCTGTAAATCACAACTTTGAACCAGAGGAAGTAGGTGTTACGGGTGGCGAGATCTACCAAGATGTTCACTTTAGCAGAATGTTCTAAATGCAGACCATAGACAGATGCTGAGTGGAGAAATGGAAACTGCTGAGCTGCGTTCGTGCGAATAATTTATTTATTGAGAATTGACTCGATTAACAAAAGAAGTATTTAAATATCATATTCAAAGAACTCAGTACCTATATTGCATAGTAAAAAAAGACCAAAAGCCGTAAAAATAATCACACAGTGGACGCCGCAACAAAAGAGACCGAGAGGCAGGCCTAAATAGCGTTGGAGTGACTGTGTGGAAGAGGATCTCAGGAAGATGGGAAAGTGTACAAGCTGGAAGAAAGTAGCCAGGCAGCATGACAACTGGAGGAAGATTGTGGAGGAGGCCAAGACCAACAAGGGGTTGTAACGCCAACGGAAGAAGAAAGAAGAAAAAAAGACTATTTTATTATTTATTTTTGAGACTTTTTTAATTTTTAAATTCAATCATATATTTCGACTATCATTATGAGACAGCTCAGAACAGATCTCACCAGCTGTCGCTGCAATTTAAATATCTTGGTTATTTAAATTGTTCTACTTTTCTAAAAAGGTGGACCATTAATTTTTCTTGGAGTAGTATCTGGACACTGCCTTTTATCCGAATGACCATATATTACCTTTTTGCACTGCATAGCAAATCAGGCATATTGTTCCCATATGGTAATGAGTTGAGACAACCAGAAGACAGATGGACTCAGCAGTAATATGTCGTTCACAAAAACTATTGTTTTATGACAAACAGCTTATATGTGTGCTCCCCTGTAAGGACAATCACAGTTTAAAGCTTGTCCCCACGTCGACCTTGGATGTGTGGGCGAAACCCTTTACCGCTCTCCGCACTCCCACATTCAAAGATCACTGCAAAAAGGTCACCGATACTTCAGTCCCTTTATTGTAGTAAAAGTTTGAACTCTATCTACAACATACATCTATCTATGCTGTATTTGTTGTATTTAGATTATTTTGTGTAAAACAATTATAAAATATAGCAATAACCACCATTGCTCAAATGTTATATTGGGGGGTACATAGAGTGTATCGATTTATTTTTAAACAGATTTTTAAATTCACTTAGAGAAAAAATATTATTTTTTCTTCTGTCTATTTCAGATACGGTGGATTTAGTTTTTGCTGCATCGTTTGGGTGTTCAACTGCAAAAATAGGGGTGAATTCAGTTCTTTTTCTTTAATTCTATAAAATAAAATACATTTCTATAAAACCATATCATTTCTCATATGTTGTAGATTACTGTATATTTTTTCAGGATAAAATAACGCTGCAGTTAAGGCGCTACTCCTAGGGAACGAGCTTGAGCGTTCGGTCCTATACATTCAACGCACCTTCGCTACACTATATCGCGTAAGAAATATTGTCTTTATTAAATTGAAATTTAGTCCTTTAAAAAAATTAAATAGATCAAAATTTTCTTAATAAATTGCCTATCAATTAGTGTCAATCGCAAAATAAAATATTGCTTACTTTATGAGGAGATGAGTTATCAATAATCATTTCGCATTACCGTGGTTTATTTGTAGGAAGATTAGTTAAATTAAGTATTTACTATTTTAAAAAAACGGAATTGGCTATTATGGAATCAAGATCATGTAGAAATTTAATAAGTTTTTATAGTTTATTAATTTTAAATAACAAGTAGATAACTCCTAAAACCTCACAAATAACGACTAGCGCTGTGCCTTTACATAAAATCAGATTGTATAGTTACTCTGTTTTACAGTAGACAATACACAGTTACTGAGAACAAGCCTTATAGAGATTGGGCGAAGCCAACCCTGCTTGCTTCACTCCACTATCCACTCCACTCCATATTTAAAGTTTTAGGTTAAGTACCAAACATCATTCAGATGACACTATTCAGATATTTAACTCATGACCAGATCCTGGACAATGGCCTTGTTCAGATTAAACCAGATTAGACAATTGGATGCATCAATGCTTGGCGGCAGAACTAAGTATCTAAATAGTAAGTAATCCTTTTATTTAAAACATAAAAGATTTTTAATATTGATATAGTCACAATAAGACGTTGTTATGTTAGGAAATTACGTAATAACTTAAAATAGAAGGCCCCTTAAGTAGGGGCTGAATAAATTAACCGACTTGATATTACATGGATCTCACAACTTTTTACGATAGAAGAACTGAGTTGCGAGACATGGTTTTTTACGAGTTATGGTTTTGATAGCATGATAGTTGCTATAAACCTAATGGACCTATCACATAATTATATGCGTGTGTGCGTTGACAAGTAGTTAGTAACGTGAGTATGTGTGAAAATTAAAAATAATTCTCATCTCTACTCTTTTGATTTATTTTTGTAACGACCTCTTAACATATTATTATCTGACTCAATTAATCGCTTACAACAAATAAATCACATGGATTTAATAACTTTAACGAGGAAACACGACATATTTGCCGATTAGTGTCATGAAAGGGTAATTAATATTGCAAGTTGAAATAATTAATTTCCCGCACTGATTAAAAGCCTCCATATACAAGCGATTGCAGCCTTTATAAAAAAGACGGCATTGAATAAATATAGACAAACAATTACACTATTAATTGTGCTTGTTTTCATTTTGTGTATAGCAAATATAATGTTGTCATGATGGTCTCCAGGTGGATAGAATTTCAAATATTTTCGGATGCAAGAACACTTGTCTAGAACTAAGCTCATATTTATCGTAACAATTGTGATGAGTTCAAAGGTAACCTCGTATAAAGTATTGGAGGCATGAGGACAGTCGCAATATTGACCAATTCAATAAAAGGGTAGTATTTATCCATTACCATTAAATATCTTATATATAAAATTCTCGTGTCACAATGTTAGTTACCTTACTCTTCCGAAACGGCTTTACTGATTTTTACCAAATTTTATATGCATATTCAGTAGGTCTGAGAATCGGCTACTATCTATTTTTCATACCCCGAAGTGATAAGGGTTGTTCACCCTTCACATTTTTTTTAAATTTTTGGACAAAATTTTTTGTTTTTATTTTTTTATAATCTGGCTTTAAAATACATGCAACCCTAAATTTTTACCCTTTTATCACCAACTCCAATTTTTTCATAGCCATTTTAGAAATTTAATCATTTTTCATCCCGCTCGATAACTGATCAATTATCGTCTTTTTTGTAAATTTTTTTCACTCTATTTCGATTAAAATTTCCCTGAGCTTATGGCAAATTTAAAATTTTTTTATAAAAATAAACATTTATTTTTATTATTGAAGTTTATTCCTGATATAGGCTTAGTGTTACCAATGTTAGATTTTTAAAATTTGCCACGCTTTTACTGGTGAGTGAAATGCCAGACTACACCGGTGTCACTTCTCAGTAAACAGCACCGAGTAGTGATGAGACCGAAGCCGGTCTCCTGTTTCTCTCACATAATAAGACTTCTCTCACTCCCTACACAGTTTTCGGCCATCATTATTGCTTATGCATCAAGTGTAGTAGTAACGTTTACAATTATCATTTTGCTATCTCAGTGTAACTCTCATAATATTAACTATCAATTCTACCTGTTTTATTATTAATAATAAAATTATTAATTTTAAATGTATTTTGCACGATTAGTTAATCAAGTGATTTACATAACCTCAAAAGTACTCAACACGTGGCACGAGCTCCCTCCCACCAACAACGGCTTTTATGTTGTAAGTATACTTTTTTTATTTATATCGAAAATGTTGTTGTAAATGGTCAAAAATATTCGGTGAAAGTTAATTTTTATTAAAATTGGGCAAACTTTTTTTGTATTTATTTTTTTACCATTTCTAACAATATATTTTTGATATAACTATGAAAAATAAAATTTTTCGCTTTCGTAAAACAGTCTCATATTTAAATGAATATGTAAATGTATGTGTGTACAATCAAATATTAAATACATTATAACTAGGGCCAGGATTTTTGCCGTGATTTCAAAATAACATTTTACAAAGTTTTTGACATTACGACAAAAATATTGATCTTATAAAAATTAATTTTAATTTAATTTTATTAAAAAAATGTCTCTTATGATTTTTTCTTAGGACCAATAGGAAAGCCGTAATTTCATAATTAAGATTTTCATAGTTTCCAAAAATTTTAATCAATCAATCTTTATTTTAAAATAACTTTATTTTGATATTAATTTTGTTTCAAATTTTTTTTTCATAATACTAATATTTTTGCTATAGTTTCAAAAATTTAAACTAATCATTTCAAAACTGCGGCAAAAATCCTGGCCCTAATTATAACTATAACGTTTTCCATCATTAAGTAATTTCATTAATTTTATTTATGTATATTTTGTACAGTGAGCAATGCCAAGAAAACGCCAAGGGGCTGATTTGAGCCGTAATACAAGTAGATCTAGAAGCATGAGAAATAGAAGATCCCAAAGGACCGAAAAAATCCAGCAACAAAATATTGATACACGTGTGAGCATGGCGCAATTGCGTGAAGAACAATCAAAAGATACACGAGCTGAACGCAATGAAGTAATAAGATTAGAACAACGACAATCACGCCGTTTCACAGTCAATAGACGCAGAACAAATGACCAACAACGCCAACAGGTACATCGAGCATTTACATCTGATTCATTCCTGCGTCTAGCATTCCAGTATGAGTCCGAAATTGAATATTATGCTCATTCAAAAGTGGTAATTGGTGCTATAGACAAGGACACATGATTATTGCCTCAAAAAGTGCAACTACCTGAAATTGAAACACCACCTGAACCATTGAGCAGTTTACTTATCGGCACGGATCCAGATTCTTCCTGAAGTCAATTCGAACATTCAATTCATGCTTTCAAATGACATCGTTCGGAGCAACAGAAATAGTTCAAAATACATATGCAAATGGTCCATACAATTCTACATTCAAAATCAGAGGCCAAGTTTATCATAAAATGGGCTCATTGCTGCCAATGCCAAACGAATCACATAAATTTTTACAAATCTACTTCATGGGCGGCGAGGATTCCGGAAGCGCACTTGCCAATCGCGTGAATGCACGTTGTGGCTAATAATGTCCTCCAGACCGAATTTTGGCCACGGCGGGCTGCCTCAAAGGAAGCTAGTCATCGGCGCAGGACAGGATTATAGTGCCCAAATGTGCACGCATGCAAGCACAGGTCCACTCACTATTCCCTCACTCTCATAATTCGATGGGACGGTAAACTGACACGACCAGAGAGAGATCAGGCGCAGAACTAACGGCTTTACGTACTTTCCAAGGCACGGGGGTTAGACAATGCCAACTTCCTGACTCCAGGCAACTACTGAGAATTTCTTGAGGGAAAAACTCAATAATTAATTTTTTGGTCCGACCCGTGATTCGAACCCAGGACCTCATGATTAGCAGTTGCACTAATACAACTACTAGACCAACGAGGCAGTCAACATTGTGACTATAATAACCTAGATTCATTTTTTGCCAGACGCATCGTCAGCGAGCTGGAGGCTCTATTGAACGAGCACAATGGATTGTTGAAAATATTCAAATCACACATGCACAAATTGTAAAGCGATAATCACGCTATTGTCATTAATCCTGATAAAACACCAGCTGGAGAGCATATTTGTACATTCAATGCACCTGTTGTTGATGACGTTGTTGGAATCATGGTTGGCGATCGTACAGGTGCACGAGAAATTGTGATTCGTAGAAGAAATAATAATCTTCAGTTCATTGGTGATACACATCGTTCATATCGCGCTCTCCAATATCCGCTAATATTCTGGAAGGGGCAAGACGGATATTGCATAAACATAAAACAACGAGATCCCGTATCAGGTACTTCATTTATTATGAACTTGATCATTAACCACTTAACAAAACATTTAAATTATTGAACGTAATTAATTTAAATTAATATTTATGAATATATTATTACAGGAGCTGAAACAAACAAGAACGTTAGCTCGAAAGATTATTATGCGTACCGATTAATGATTAGACGCGGCCTGGACAACCTCATTCTACGATGTCGTGAGATTTGTCAACAATTTATGGTAGATATGTACACACAGATAGAGGGTGAACGAATACGATACTTACGATATAATCAACTCAAGCTGCGTGCGGATGACTACATTCACTTTCGAGACGCTAGTAACAACAACGCCCACGTCGCAGAAATTGGTAACTCTGTCATTTTACCATCATCGTACGTAGGCAGTCCACGTCATATGCAAGAATATATACAGAATGCTTTGACTTACGTACGCGAATATGGACGACCGTTTATCACGTTCACACGTAATCCAAAATGGCCAGATATTACACCTCTGCTATTGCCTGGCCAAAATGCAATGCATCGTCATGACATTACAGCACGTGTATTCAGACAAAAGTTGAAGTCTTTAATAAGTTTCATTACTAAAATCCATGTATTCGGCTCCACACGTTGCTGGCTGCATTCGGTTGAGTGGCAAAAGCGAGGATTACCTCATGCACACATTTTAGTTTGGTTAATCGACAAAATCCGTCCTGAAGAAATCGATTGTATCATTTCTGCGGAAATTCCAGATCCGTCTACTGACCAACTGCTGTTTGATATTGTTACAGCAAACATGATACATGGTCCATGCGGTAATCTTAATCGTTCATCGCCTTGCATGGCCGATGAAAAATGTACTAAAAATTTCCCTAATGATTTCACTAATGATACGATAACAAATATCGACGGATATCCAATCGTCGAAGAAATCCCGATAATGGCAGACAACCATTTATTAAAAATATCAGCAACACAGACATTGACATTGACAATCGTTGGGTGGTGCCGTATTTGCCTCTGCTAAGCAAGACATACAATGCTCATATTAATGTTGAGTTCGGCAGTTCTGTGAAGAGCATCAAATACATTTGCAAATATGTCCATAAAGGCAGTGATATGGCTGTGTTTAGAGTGGAAAATACTAATGTAAATGCTCCTCCAGTGAATAAAACAATTAAATAACGCTCTACCAAATTGGTCGGTACATCAGCTCCAATGAAGCTGCTTGGCGTATCTTTGGTTTTCCAATTCATGAACGGGATTCAGCAGTTGTTTAGTTAGCCGTCCATTATGAAAACGGTCAGCGTGTATTTTTCACTAACGAGACAGTGATTGATCGTGCTATAAATCCTCCTAAAACTGCACTCACTGAATTTTTTTAATTGTGTAATCGCGCGGATGATTTTGGTGCCTTTGCAAGAACATTATTAACAAGTACCACGCCATTTCACATGGGCTCAAACAAAAAAAATGGCTGTCCTGCAAGCAAGGCTCACCAGTTGATGCATGTCTTAATTTATTTACATCTAACGCTTTGGGGCGATCCAAGACACACTAAGTGCTTTTATCTTCGACTGTTATTGGTTAATGTTACTGGCCCATTATCATTTCAAGATATACGTAAAGTGAATGGGCAAAAGTATCCAACGTATAAAGATGCATGCCTTGCACTCGGCTTGCTGGAAGACGACAACCAGTGGGAATGTATGCTTACTGAAGCTGAATTGAACTGTACAGCAATACAAATTCGTCTACTATTCGCTATAGTGCTGACTACATGTTTCCCAGCTCGAGCACAGATATTGTGGGATAATCACAAAAATACAATGACTGATGATATAATTCATCAACATCGTATACGGTGCAACGATCTAACGATAACATTCAGCGACGCTATGTACAATGAAATAAAAAGACCAAAAAAACGGACACACAAAGTAATTAATTAAAAAAAGAATAAAAAAAAAAAAAAACAAAAACCCATTGATTGCTATTGAGGATCTTTGCATGGTCATTGCCAACTTATCACTCAGTCATTTCGGTATGAATTCGCCAAATCGAACTGCATCTGATATAATTAACACTGAAATGAATGAAATAGAAATGGCAGCGATTGTTATTCGCAAAGACCATTTATAACCGCATTTTGCTCGCAGTTTCAGCAGGACAAGGTGGGTTCTTCTTCTTGGATGCACCGGGTGGAACTGGCAAAACATTCCTTATTTCGCTAATTCGTAAACCTTGCATTATCGGGCATTGCGTAAACTTTATTGGATGGAGGCAGAACAGCTCATTTGTTATTTAAGCTGCTACTAAATATTCAAAATAACCCTGACGCAGTGTGTAACATTAAAAAACAATCGTCCATGGCCACCGTGCTGAAACAGTGTAAAATTATCATCTGGGATGAATGTACTATGGCACACAAACATTCAGTTGAGGTGTTGAACAGGACATTGAAATATATTAAAAACAACGACAAACTATTTGGCGGCACTCTGTTGGTCCTTTCATGTGATTTCAGACAAACACTTCCGGTCATTCCACGTTCAACATATGCTGATGAGATCAATGCTTGCCTAAAATCATCTCCATTGTGGCGTAATGTTGAAAAAGCACAGCTGAAAGTAAATATGCGCGATCAAATGCTTCAAGATCCATACGCTGAAACATTCTCAAAACAACTCTTAGGTATCGGTAATGGAAAAGTTGCTATAGATGAAACTGGATACGTAAAATTACCGACCGATTTCTGCACAATCGCTGATTCGCAAGATACTCTCATTGAACAAATATTTCCCGATGGTGTACATACACAGTACATAAATCATGAGTGCCCGCCACGGCTATGCAACGGTACGCGATTAGTCATTCAAAAATTAATGATAAAAAACCTTTATCGAAGCCAGCATTTTAAATGGGAAGTTCCGAGGTGAAAATATATTAATACCACGGATTCCTATTATACCTACAGATGTGCCAATTCAATTCAAACGTATTCAGTTTCCAATTAGATTGGCATTTGAAATGACTATCAACAAATCCCAAGGCCAAACGATGTCTATTTGTGGCTTAGATTTGAGCACACCATGTTTTTCACACGCACAATTCTACGTGGCATGCTCTCGAGTGGGTAAACCATCCAGTTTGTTTGTGTTAGCTAAAGATGGGCTAACAAAAATATTGTTCACGCTATTTTCTATTATTCTTTATACTATTCTTGCTATACTTTATATTATTACTACTATTACTACTTGCTACTATACTTTATATTATTCACGCGCATTAAGAGATTGATATTGTTTGTTAGTGTTACTGTCGTAATTAATTAGTGATATGTAATTTTAAAGAAATAAGCTATATTAAATTAAAAATAATAATGTTTGGCGTTTGTTATTTTTATATTCCCTCATCGTTCACAGCGCTCCAGGCCTATTTCACGCATATACCACATCTTTACACACTTACAATAAGTCAGTTATTTTTTGTCTACACAAGAAATTACCTAGAAATAATTTATATGGCAAAACAACGTTTGCCGGATCAGCTAGTTTATAAATAAAACTTAATAGTACAAATTGTAGGAAAAGATAAATGAAGTACGCTAATTGTTAAAAAAAAGAGTTTGGTTTTTGAACAAATTGTTCGCTCCAGCTGGGATTTGAAATAGGGTGTGATATAGGTAGTACCGATATAGTCAGGGTACGCTTAATAAATCACGTGGTATTTTGTATTTGTATGAGTTTAAAGTTTTACATCATGTATGAATATAATTAAGGATAAGATAGTCAATATACAAGAATTAGATCTATTGAAGTGTTAAATACTACCACTATTTTGTCCCAGCTATCGCGATTTTTATGAATGTACATGTAACTACTCTATTCGTGATTTTTTAAACATAAATCCTCATGATAATGTGTTTGTTTTAGGATTTTTTAGAGCCAATTTTTCAATCATAATATTTATTTTTTAGTCTCCCGAAAGCCTTTATTTGACGAATAACGTAGCATTGTAAAATAGAAATATTCGACACATAGTTTTGGAAAATACTCTGAGGAATTGGAACAATGCACCTTTAATTTCCCTAGCGTTACAAATTTCTATAGGCGGCATCAGGTGATGCGCATGCTCGTTTGCCCCTCTTCATAAAAAAAAAAAACAATAACTAGGAAAAATTTCGTCAAACTAAAATTCACAATTGATACTTCATATTAATATTTTTGGTATACAGAAAATAGAAATATTATTTTTGCCTTAACGTTTGTAATACAATGTTTTATTTTTATTTTTCCTCCCAGAATTTTGCGTTGCTATAGTCCAATCGATCGGTCCACGGTCTGTATATTCGGTCGGTATATTCGTGAGATAAATGACAATTGAAAAATAGATAATCCATTATTTGACAGTTGATCAGCAAAAAACATATTTTTAGTTATTAGACATTTTGTCTTGCGATTTAAACCCGTATTACTAATAGAAAATGTGATGTAATAGACTGCGTTGTCTGGTATCAAACAATTTGATACCTAAATCGATGAAAACCAAAAAAATCATTTATTTAATTGCGATATTGCATAACATTTTCAAACTAGGTTCAAAGCAAATGAGCTGAAAAAGTAATGTAAAATCCTAAAAAACAAATAAGTTGATAAAGTCAATGCACACATGCGACCCAATTTGTTAACACAAAGGCATTGTCAACCACTGACAAGGAGAGGCGCCGTAAGTTATAACTTGCCAGAAATTAGCTGTCGGAATTGATTTATTGTTTGTTGTTAAGGTGATAAATTATTACAGCAAAAGTATTATAGGTTTATTTCAAGTCAAGAAATAGAAAAGTAGTCTTCTTAGTCGCACAAATTGTTGGAGTATAAGGTTGTTTGACATTTTTGTATGGAAATGAGTTTGCTGCTTTATTCCTTTTGCTCTTGTGTTACCGTAATACTTAAATAAGTAAATTTTCAAAAATTTTATCACGTATTTTATAATTGTATTATAATGCTAACATTAGAAAAGTTAAAGTTTCTTTATGACATTACATTACGTGACAAGCGAGATATCTGTATTTACTCCTGTGTGTTCAAGGAACAATTGCTTCAAAAGCGTTATCATCTCTGAGAAACAAAGTAGAACGACTTACAGCCTGTAATTAAACAGGCAATCAACACTATTTAGACTTGAACATGACTTCAGACATTGTACCTCCCAAACGAATATAAAGCGAGTCCTACTCACTCACCTATATGGTCATAACAATAGTAGGGTAAGTGGATGCTGTGGCATATACACACTTCTATCCCTGATTGAGGATCCAAATGGAGATGTAATGTAGTTACTCCTATGGACCTAGATCAATGCGTTGTTATCATACTCGGTATCGTGAAATTATCTTTGGTACTCGTCATACAGCTTTCAAAACACAGCAGCATTATGCTGCTATTTCACGCTTGTATCTTGAGCGAGCTTGTTGCAGCCACAATAAACTGCATTATTGCTTTATAGCTTAGTTATTGAGGTGCTTATAATCTGACTAAAAGTCAGATGAATTAATTATTATGGGTTGCATGTATCCTTCCATATACGGAGAGGCGCTCATACAACAGTCAATTTATAGGCGCTCAACAACAGTCAATAAACGGCGGTGATGATTATGATTACACAATGAATTGTGATCGTGATTGAAAAAACCTGGGAAGAAATAACGACGCTAAAACCAGAGTGATCTAGGGCACAATAGTATGTTTCTGAGAAAATGAAGGAAATGCGTTACGCGTTATTAATGGAAATCTATAGGCTTTTTATTATTATTTTTTGTTATATGTACTTCTAATGAGTTTTAAATAAAAAAATATCAATTTTTATCAGTATGAGTTATTTATTAAAACTAATATTCGTAGTTTTACAAAAAAAAATCACTTAGATCACTATGGCAGATCACAAATTTAAAAAAATGAATTAATAGTGTAAGTTTTCACTTTGATTTTGAAGAAAAATCACATTAATCATCACCAAATACAGCAGGCAAAAAATTTTCATCATCTTGTGCTTCCTGATTGCCACCTCTTCTAGGAACATGTGGTAATTAATGTCAAGTAAAACTGATGATGGATAGGAGGTACGAATTTTAGAGTTTTTCTAATATCTTGCATTTTTTGATACGATATTAGTCTGGTTTCAGGGGCTTTTTCTGGTATATAATTCTTTAGGTCACATAAAAAAGTTTCAGAATCCATATCATTTGGTTTTAAATCAACTGTTTCATATGTTTCAGTGTAGTCATCATTGTAACTGATTATACTTAAACCTTTACAAAACTTTCTTCCGCATCTTAGAAATTTTTGCGCCTTCTCTTAATATAATCTGATAATCTTTGAATAGTGTTGTGAGGCTTTCATAATCTAGAAACTTATTTTTCATATCTCGCACAGTAAAAGGTATTTGTTTTCTGCATTCTCGGACGAGCTTCATCCAATCTTCTGGTGTATAGATATCAGTCTTCTTTTTTTAGTTCACGACTTATAAAAGAGAAGTCGGTATCGTTAGGCATGTAAGTATGGCCACTGACGAGATAATGCATGGTGATCGTTTCTAGATATGGCGATTTATTAACCAGAAACATCATAAAGTGTAAAACGTTCCAGTTTCTGTTTTGACCGAAGCAACAGTCGCTAAAAAAACACAGTGATTTGACAGTGTCCGGCACGGAATCTTCTAAGAAGTAGTGAAGTGACGACATAATTTCTTGTGAGCCTCTGGCCCCACAATGTTCTGGCCACATATTCATGAGAACTTTTTCTCCTTCCTTAGTATAAGCATGAATACCAAAGTTCAGCATTTGCAGTTGTCTTAAATAATAGACCTCACCAGTATTCAAATAAGGAAGAGGCAGGGTTCGTTCCAGATCAAAAGTAGCTACTAATATCGATTCGTCAGTTTTGACTTTACCTTTATAGTCATTTAATATGTTTCTTACTTCGCCTGCAAGTTTAATATGCTGATCTTTTTTGTACCCTTATAGCTAGGCATGTTTCTATATCTTCTTCCGCCTTTATCTCGATCTCGAGCATATCACAGGTTTTACAAGTATCCTTAGGGATATAGAAGTGTAAATTAAACTCGGTTGTAAATACTTTGACGTAGGCACTCTTTTTCAATATTGGTTTTCCTTCTGACTCACATTTTGCTTTAAAAAGTTCATACATTTTGTTCATTGAAAGATCCGGGCGCAAATATTTTCGTGTTGATCGTCTTTCTCCATAGTGACTCACAAATTTCGGAAAACTATTAATGTGGTCTTTAATCCAGTTCAACTTTTCATCAGACAGCTTGTTAGCAGGTACATGTTTTCCCCTCTTATCTCTTTCCGCTATTCCAGAAACAGATTTTTTTATTGCGTAATGCATAATCTAATCTTTTGTTAGACATTTGTATGACCTTTAAAAAGAAACTTTTGCAAACTCTTTTGTCCAACAGCATGAATTGGCGTACATAATTTATACGGCTAGGATTTTGAGCATTTTGTCTTTGCTTACGGCGTTTTGGTTCTAAAGTCTTAATTGCGCTGCACAACCATGTTGTTTGAGCATCCCATGAGGTGAGCTGATAAAACATTACGTGTATTGATTCTTGATTTTCAGATGAAACCTGCTCACTGCATTTGAACCTACAGCTGCATACAACTGGTGTAAATACTTTAGCTGGGACAATACTACCTCGTACGTTGCGATATTCTTGGCCTGCAGTTCTTTTTCGCTTCCTTATATTCTTTGCCCATCTGTCAAAATTCCGAACTCTTTTTCTTCCTCTGACAGGTTCATCGGAATCTGGATGATTTATTTCCCCCAAGTTACCTATAGGACCCTCTGGATCTCTTCTTTCTTCATTATCTGTAAAGAACAGCATAAGCTGTAATCCAAGCCCAAGCCAGATTCAAACATGAATCAAAAACGCAACAGACGAGTATTTGCTTATAAAAATAGGTTATATTAAGGAAGTAGTTTATTAGAGTATAGCCTTATAAGTATTTTCGTGCTAATTGATTAAAATAACATAAGTGTAAGTCAAGCAACAATATTTGAAAAAATATAATTCTGAAATCGAACTGCAAATCACACAATAAAAGTCGTACCTTCACTGTCTTCTAATTCTGTGGAAATTTCTACATTTTGCTGTGGATGGTAAGAAGAATGATCACTTGAAAAATCTTCATTTGTTGAAGTCGATGAAGATGGCGGCGGCAAAGATTGCAATGCCATATTCACTATTTTTTTAGCTCTGTTTCTGTTATCCATTGTTTACGTAACACCCTTTCAATTAAAATATTTAATAAAACAAAAGATAATCGCAAGCGCATGTGACTAAACCGAAATCAATATGACAAGTAACGTCAATTGATTTTGATTTTGTAGACGTGACTGCGTTTGTGTTGCCAGTTTAAAAATATTCAGTGGTTTTGTAAAAATATCAAACCATATTATTTGTTTTAAGTATATAAACATAGATATTAAATAAAAATAACGTAAATTATTTGTAAACAATTAATTTACTATTTCTTTATTGCACTTAGATCAGTTTGGATTTCCATAAACGCCAGCAACTTGCGACCACAGTGATCTAAGTGCGCTCTCATTACTTAGATCAGTCTGGCATGTCTCCATTTTGCAAACCGCACCGATTCTATAGTGAGATGTTGTGATTTCTCAAGGAAAAAAATACTGGAAAGCACTTAGATCAGTATGGCCTGAAATAATTATGATTTTTCTTTGCAATTGTGTAAAATAACCATTTTTAGCAAAAATGTCAATTAGATCACTCTGGTTCCAGCATCGTCATATGGTTTTGTTTTTATTTCTTCTGTACCAATTTCTGCGGCAGTGTATTTAATTTTGTATTCTTATTTAAAGGGTATGAATACCCGTATGATAGCTGGCTTTTAGGCGTTCTATTCCATGACTCATTACACATAGTAGTATTTGATGCTTTGTGTTCTTTATATTTATTGTATAAGGAGATCCAAAAAATTGACATAACTGTTATGGAAGTAGTATTTTGTTGAGCTGCTTCGGCTACAGAAGGTCACAAGGAAAATACGAACATACACACATCAAATAAAGTTTGTGACCACTAAAAAAGCTGATATATTTTTAAAATTTAACTATTCTATGAATAGATTGTTTCTATAAAAAGAAGTGAGCATAGAATAGCTAGTAAACCGTGGGATATTAACGAGTTGTTCTCAAGTAGATCGCATAAACAAACCACGCTAAAAATGCGGTGTTAGTAGAATGTCGGGTCGAAAACTAAGCGACTACCTTTCTTTCAGTTTTTTTTTATGAAGCTTTCCATTATACCTCCTTTCGTATTTCCTTTCTAAAAAAACTAATAGTAAATTATTATATAACTTAACGTGATGTCTTGTTAAAATTAAAATATCTTTTCTACGAGGCAATCTTTACAAAGCAGTGGTCTTTTGATGGGATACAACGGTAACGGTAAAGATCCCCGTATATAAGATATTATGTTATATATTAAAACATGTAGCAAAAATTGCAGTCCGATCGGGATTTAATTATAATAACAAGCAATATTGCTGCAGAAACCATATGTTGATTATTATTGCTCGTTTGGCACTTTAATGTCATAAAGAACAGTTTTATAATGTACTTTAAATCCTCTAACCGAATGTAATAAAACACTAGTTCAACGTTTGTTGCGAAATTAATATTTCTCATATTTAAACTCGTTGATTCAATAACAAAACTTTGAACTAAAGTTCATAATTTATATGTTATCTTTGAAACAAAATTGAGGAGCTTCGAACGATTATGATGAAAGTTGAATTAGAAATAGATTATCAAACTTTCTTGGCGGTTACGAGATAAAATGTGGGTTTTCTTCAAACTTTTTTATGAATCAAGTTAGCTTAGTTCAACAAAACGCATTTGTGTCTATAGAAAAGATAAAGAGGTAAGAAATGTGACCTGAAGTTTTTTATGTCTTCAGTAGAACATAAAATAAGCGTCATTGTTAATATCTTGACACTTTTACTACTATTTTAATTTTAGCAAAACTTTGTGTATTAAGACAACAACCCAGATCTGAGTCACAAGTCTACTGCTAAACATGGGTGTAGTATTACAAAGTAAGTGCAAAGTACGGGTGTGTAGCAACAAAGCCATCAACAACTGTGTTTCATCAGGTACCTTTGTCTCCAATTAGTAGGTGTTTCCATACACTGTGCTTGGTAGTACTAGGCTGCCACCAGAGAACCTGAAAAAGTACCTGTTGCGGACGGCGAGAAGATGTTCATCCGTCGCCTCGCACCGCGCGCACGTCGACACGTCCCCCGCGCCCCGCATTAGAACAAGGGCCCCGCAAGGACAAACGCTCTCACCAACTCAGTGCCTACGACGCACCGACCGACGAAATATAAGAAGCGCCTCTGGCGCGGCTTCGGCATTCGTGCGGAATCAAGCGGCTACAACGAAACAAGCAAGCAAGAAAGAAGCTCTCAAGATCCCTATTAGGTTTTAGTGTTAACTGTCGCACAATAATTGTTGTAAATAGTTTTAATTATAAAATAAGTGATTTATTTTTAACTCTTTTAAATTCTTTTAAATTCAACTCAACCCTTATTTATTAGTCAGACAGATGTCACAGGTTTAGTTTCAGTAATAGTTTAATTAAATTCAATAATATTCCCTAGCAAAAAACACACAAATAAATAAATATACAGTCCATTTGCTCTCATCCCCTACAGTATCTATGGTTTCTGCAGCAATATTGCTCGCCGTCATAATTAAATCCCGAACAGACTACAATTGCTTGCTCCATGTTTTTATATATAACATAATATCTTACATACGGATCTTTACCGTTACCGTCGTAACCCATCAAAAGACCACTGTTACATATATTTTAATTTTTACAAGACGTCACGTTAAGTTATGTAATTCATATGCAACACATTCGCCGCACGTGCAGTCAGAAGTAGACGTATCGTGTGTTGTTCTAGCTAATTCCTATTATAACCGCGTAATATAACGTTGCGATGCGACTTGTTGCCAGTGCTGCCCTTCGTCACACCCCCTCGAGTAAAGGAGACAACCAGCGATTTTTCTTCCTGCGCACACGCATATTTTTTACAAACACAGTGCTAATACTCGTTGACCATCTTAACTTTTAGTGGTGAATCTATGAGCGGCTCAAACACCGATCTACCTACTAACGATTATCATAAAATGACACATAGAAGACGTAAACATATAGATGCAGATTTCGTGTCGTCTTCTCAGCGGACAGAATTCAAAACTGAAATAATGGAATTCTTCAATAATTTTGGGAACTTACAGAGGAAAGAATTTAATAGTTTGAAAGATGAAGTGTCACAAATTAAAGGAGTAAAGGCGACGTCATGATTATAAGGGAACAGCTGGAATCTATAAAAATCAGTACTGTGAAAATCACTCGCGAGCATAGTGAAATGATGAATGATATTTTCAAATTGAAAAACTCATTAAATTATCATTCAGCTGAACAAACCACTCTGACAACACGTATTGATGATGTGGTATCGGAGATCAAAAAGGTTGATCTGTAATCAGAAAGGTTAGTCAGCAAAATATATCGGAATTACAAGAAAAATATGAATCTCTGCGAAATGAATATAATTTCATGCAGCAACGTGATCGCGCCATGAAAATTGAGATCTCTCAGATCCCCGAAAAAAAGAATGAAATTGTCTCCGATTACGTTATTGCATTAGGCAAATACACGGGATAGTTATATCTACCGAAGACTTAATTTATACTCATCGTGTTAAATCACGTGACAGCGACAGTAAATCACCAAAAAATTGTGAGAGACATCATCTCCTGAGAGACATCATCATCTCTGATGTACGTAGGAAGAAGGGTTTAACTACAATTGACATAGGAATCCCGGGAGAGTCTCGAAATATATATGTTAATGAACACCTCATACCTGCTAATAAAATGCTGCTAAAACAAACTAAAGTCGCCGCTAAATGTGCAAATCCTAAATATCAATACGTGTGGGTTCGTAACTGTAAAATTTATATAAGGAAAGACGATAATTACCCTAAAATTCACATAAAAAACTCTTTAGATTTAAATAAAATTAAGTGACTGTGTTACTTTAAGTTACGACTATTGTTATATATCTTAAACGGTGTACTCGTATTGTTCTAAAATAGTGTGGCTGAATGTTTTTTAAATGTTACTATTATACGAGTATATATTATACAAACATTTTTCAAATACTTTATTTTATATACTATACACTTATTGTTTTATATACACTATACACTTTATTCTTTATATTGTTATTTATACTTAATATATACTCGTACATACATATGCACCTTTTATCGATCTGTGTGGGTAACTCCTTATTTTATATAGGATTCATGCTTACAAAACAACAAAGGAATGATAATTCCTTTAATATTAGTAATGTTGAAAAGTAATCGATTATTTTTGTTTTTCGTTCTAAATTCATATATGGTTACTCTTTATATACACATAAACATTTTATATAAATACATACACATGCAACAATTGCTTGATTAAGAGGATTACCATTAATGTATTATCTAATATTTATCTACAAAACTATATAAAATTGTTAAGTTTCGACCTTAATACTTTATTTTCAAGTACCTACCGAAATTTATATTCTTACTTTGAGTCTAAATTACAGCTTATCGTTATAAACAGTAAAGTAACTCGTAACACATTATTTTTGTTTGTTTATGATTCATTATTCACGTTAATTGTTCTTTGTTTTAATAGCCGTTTATAATAATCTAAAAAAGGGTTTAAGTCGGTACTATCAAAATGTTCGTGGTTTACGGACGAAATGTAATGAGCTATAAAACAATATCTTATCTCAAGACTATGATATAATCTTATTGACCGAAACCTGGTTAAAAAGTGATATTTATAATAACGAACTATGTGATCTTAGATATGATTTTTTTCGAAGTGATCATAATTATTTATTGTCAGGGAAAAAGGTCGGTGGTGGAGTGTTAGTCTGCATATGTCGCGAATTGAGTGCATTTCTATGCGGCCAATGGTCCAGTGCACCTACAACGCATGAGTCGGTGTGCGTGACTTTACCAGCACGTACGCTTGGGTCCTCAGTCGATCTACATATAGCTATAGCGTACATTCCACCTGACTAGAACGTAATACAGAGTGGATTGAGTGATATTAAGCAAAACTTATCGTGTTGAATTGAAAATTATCCCATGGACAATTTTTTACTG